TTCGACTTTTCGACTTTTTGCGAATCGCCATAAGCGAAAACCATTCGAAATTCGAAAAAGCGAGAACCATTCGAAAACGGATTCGACATTTCGACTTTTTGCGAATCGCCATAAGCGAAGACCAATCATGTTTTAAATATTATATCACGTGATGTCAACAGTAAAAAAAAGCAAAAACATGCTGTTTTTAAAGTAACAAAAAACAAAATTCTTAACCTAGCGTTCTTATTAATTTTATATGAACTTACTATAATTCGCAAGCATAAGTAAGTTCATCAAACAAGGTGCAAGACTTATAAAAAAATGACCAGACTTATATATAAAACTAATTCGAGAATTTACAAGTATAAATTTTCACACTGTCAATTACGGAAGTTACACTTCATAAGAATGTTTCTTATCAAGTGACCACACGAAGATAAACCTTTTTGTGAAAAACCCTACATAGAGTTAAACCTGGTGTTTGTTCTTGCAGTAACAGTTTTTTAATAGAAATGTTCATGTCAGAGTTTAGTATTTATTTTCTTATACTTTCTTGTGAAAAAACCTTATATAAAATGATTATTACAAAGTGATATCACATCTTACATATAAAGACAGAAGTGGTAATATTAATGCATGGAAAGAAATTTTCACATGCTTCAAAGTAGAAAGTATGCTAAAAAAATAATAACTGCTTTTAGTTAAACATACAGCGTAAACTTATTGCTGCCATTTTTATTGTTGATAACAAAAAAAAAGTAGCGCGAAAGAAAGTAAGTGGAAATCAAAACAGCGTTTCGTCATAGCGAAAAAATTCGCTTCGCGCGAATATTTTGTCTTATGGAAAACGGCCTTTAGTTTTCAAAACATAGACTCACCTTATATAAACTGTACTTTTCTCACTTTCATTCCAGCGAATTCTTCAATAATGTCATCAAAATTGATTTTGGCTGTTGTATCAGATTCAATTGATAACGTTGCCAGGAATGATATCCCTTTTTGGCCCTTGAACAATTTTAAATATGCTTTGATATGTTTCAAGCGTGAAAACTCTTTTAAAAGTTGACAAAGGCATTGTTCAATATGTTCCAGAATGACGTGCATTTTTAGAGTTTCAGAAAAATCTGTTGCTAGAAACATTTTTTTCAAAACTTGCAGGTAATGAGATAAATTGTGAGAAACCTTTCCAGTTCCGAAACAACATTTGACAACATTTTCAATTGCTTTTAGCAATAAAGCTAAAGGCAACACCAATAATGGGCTAACTTTACCAAGGACATCAGCTTAAAGAAATTTATCTGCATGTTGAAATAGCTTAAGACATTCATTGCCTTCAAAAACCTCACTCTAGACAAAAATTACGAATTAATTAATTTGATGTTAATTAGTAAAAACTGTCTCTGAATTATTTATCAATTTCTCACCTGGTATTTTTTTGAAATCAGTTTCAACTATAAGGGCCATATCATGGCTTTTTCTCTGCCTAATAGTAGCAAAATTTCCTTCCAAAAGACATAATTGACGCATCCTTGTATTAAATGTAATTCAGGAAGAGGGCATTTAGCTACAACTAACATAGAATCTTGTTCGTTAAAAAGTGGAAGATTCACTGTGCTCAAAGTGTCTGGGGCATCTCTTTTTTTTTATTCCTTTTAATAGCTGAGACCTAATAAAATGTACTTTAAACATATACTAAATGTTTATTATTAAACAGGTACAGTACATTGATAACAGAAAATTACTTAAAACATAATGTTGTTTAATTTTACCTGTCGTAGCATTTTCTCAGATCACTATATGTTCGCAAACCTGCACATCTATTATTCAAAGATTTCAAAGAAATATCTAAATTGCAGTTTACATCACATATATTTTCTTCCTCTTGTGTAATTAATCCTCGGAGTGACCTTAATTTAACATAGCAATATAGACAGGGGCTGTCTGCAGACCATTAACAACAAAATTTAATTTAAAGTCAGCTATAAAAAAAAAAGAATCCTATCTAACCTAATTAAATTAAACAAAAGCTTCATGTTTTCATAAGATTCTTTAATTTGAAGTACTATACAAAGAAATATTATTCTGTGAACACCTCTTAACTTTCATTTTTTGTAGCTTTAACCCCTTCAGAACACAAGGTCTTTTTTTTTAAGAAGGCTTAGTTTCTTTGATATTTTGAACTTTTTAGTTTCATTCTCTGTTAACTCACGATTTAGCTAAGGGTGATTACTTTCTGGTAAAGTTGCTGCACAGATTTTTAGAAAGCCCTGGCCTCCGTCAGCCATTACCTAAATTAAGCAGATTTACTTCTGAAAATAATATAATTTATTACAAATTAAATTTTAATGTAAATATAAAACACAATTATAGATTAATGTATACTTTTTCATTAATCTCTCTAGCTATCATCACGGCATACACATTATCTTATAAATCTTCCCAACAAATTGTTCTCTCTGCTTTCTCTTTAGATATACCTTCTACATTAAACATATCTTTGTAACCTGATATAAACTTTTCAAAGGTTTAGATTTTTCTGATGCCTGCTCTTTGCGATATGCAGAAACAGCCTTTTTTACCTATTTTGGATCTAATAAAATTAGTAAATTTTTTTTGTAAAGTAAAAAAATGTAACTATATTAACTGAATGTTTAAACACAAAACCGCTTTCGTTAATTTTTTCAAGTTTAATATTCTGCAGGTTTTGTACAGGGTTAGCTAGTGTTTACTTTGTACAGAAAGTTTATTGTTTAAAGTTTAGGTGGAGCAAAATTTTAGTGCTAGGAAAATAAAAGGTGCAATGAAATTCTTCCAATTTTTTTTAATAAAGTTTAAACGCACTTTGTTAAGAAAACTTGTAACTCTCGTTAATTTGATAGATTTTTTCTAATTGATAGATTTTTTCTTGCAGACTTTTACATTTTTATCATTCAACTAGCGTTAGGATATTATATCTGCATCAGTATTCGTGTTTTATTTTCATACATATTCTTTTTTTTAATTGCACCTTTACTTTATTTTGAATTAAAACCGCGATTGCAATTTAAATTAACCTTAAATAATTTTCAACTGATTAAACCTTGTCAAAGAACATATTTTCATGGGTAAAAAAACTGTTTTATAACCAATTCTAAAAATACAATTGCAAGTCATTGGGATGCATAAAATGAAAATGAGGAATCAATAAATCGGCAAATGGGTAAATATTTCTAATTTTAGTGTTCATGCAACAAATATGAAAATTATCAACTGCATAATGATAAACTTCGCATTAGGCGTCCGTCAACAACGTCAAAAATGTAAACACGCGATGAAATCGCGTTTTGACATCTTTAAAACGACAAGTATGAGCTCATATTCGTCGTCTCAAAGATGACAACTATTAGATGTCGTATAGTTATCTGAATTTAGACGTCTAAAAGGTGTTAACTATTTAGATTCTAAAAAGACGCCCTGGGAAGCAGACGCAAACCAAAGGCAAGAATGTGAACACTAAAAGCAGAAGTTCTTTTATAGTCATACGACAATAAGTGGAGGTGGATATTAGGCTCAGGTATTAGGTGTCATAAAATATACAAAGAAAGATTAAACCAGAGATACCGTGATTCGAGGCTAATCTAACTTCGTTGTTTCAAGAATACAATGCTTCATGCCATACAGTATATTCAATCATCGATTGTTTTCTTAAAGTATTCAACTTATGCCTTTGCCAGCACAATCAGCTGACTTAAACCTGATCGAAAACTTATGGAGCTGGATGGATAGCAACTAAAAAAAAAATAAATAGTCAAGAAATGCTCCCTAATAGAATAAAAATCCTTTGGCTTGAAAATCCAATTAAGATGATTAGAAACCGTACTGAATTTGCCAAGGCAATCATTAGCATGTATCAAAAACAACGCGGGTATATCCCGTAATAATAGATTTTAATTATAAAAAAATTATAAGTGCATCCAAAATTTATTGCACTTTCTACTCATTAATTTTTAGATTAACTGTGTTTGATATTTCATTTAAAAAAAGATTTTGTGTTTTTTCTTTAAAAAAAAAACCGTGGGCCCTACATCGGATTTTTTCTGCGTAAAAGTCTAAAGCTACTATAACTTATTAACGAGTCTAAACTTACTATAACATATTTCTGTACAAAGTGTATGAGCTGGTAAGAATCAAAGAGGTACTTAATTGCAAGTCATTAAGACAATTTATACATGTTGTTTATACAGGTATTCAAAACCAGCATATTCAAACAAAACAAAAATATGTGCTATCTATCATTGCATTTTCTTTTGCAATATATATTTTCTTTATAGTATAATAAATTCCTAAAATTTTAATTACAGTTGAACTCCGGTAATTCAAATTCTGAAAGGGTCTTAAATTTTTTTTGAAAAACAAGAGTTTGTAAATTATATGGGTTCCATCTTAAATATTAAACCGAAGAACTTATTCGATTTGAATGATTCTTCGAAATATAAGAGTTTGTATTACAAGAGTTCAACAGTAAGTAAAAATATAGATTTATATAAGATAAAGTTACACATTTTTGTAATTTTATTTTATATGAATAGAAAATACAAACTCACTCTGATTCTTACCAACTTTTATAATTCTAATAAAACAAAAAATTCTCCTTGAGGTTTGATGTTTTGTATATGGAGCTACAAACAAATGCGAAACAAGAATTTAAAAAGATAGTTTTAATGGAGTAAAAATTTAGTATAGCTAAAACTATGCCAAAAAGCTATTTGATTATGCAATAATCATGCAAATAGTTATAAATTATGCAATAATTATACAAACCACTACAATTTACAAAGCAGCACAAAAATTTTCTTTTTAGACAAAATTAAAAAACTGTATTTATATAAACACGCGTGTTACTAAAATACGACTTTTAGTCAAAATTAAAAAACTGTGTTTATATAAACACACGTGTGTTTTTAAAGTACGACTTTTTCGACAAAATTAAAAAACTATATTTTTTTAAACACGCGTGTTGTTGAAGAACGACTTTTAGACAAAATTAAAAAACTATATTATTTAAACACGCGTGTTATTAAAGTATGACTTTTGTTTGTATCAGGGCTTTCGCATAAGCAATGCCACTGTACGGCAGGTTTTTTTAATTGCGATTGACTAATCATCATATCCCAATGTTCTGCTTCCACTTGACCACTACAATTTCTTCCGAAAGCTATCCAACCAATTTTTTCTTGTTGTAGCCACCGAGTGGCAGAAAAAGAGACGCTTAGCATTAAAGTGTTGATCAAAAGATCCTCTTGCGGTAAATCAAACTGAAAAACTTTGTTTGAACCAGGGTTTTCTTCTGTTATTTTTAAAAACGTTGTCTTTCTCTGCACACATTCACAAGAAGGTGAAACCAGTTCAGCTTGTATAATTATTTCCCTTTTTGATTCATACCTTAACTCATCTAATTTTGTTGTTTGATCTACATTTACAAAAAGTTTTGAAATTTCAATTTTGTACTCTAAAGATACTAAAATTTCTAGTTTTTCGCTTTTTGGCATCACAACGGATAAAAGTGATTTAGGCTTTTTCGGAAGATTTACATTTTCTCCAAAGGTGATTGTTGTAGGAAGCATTTCAGCGTTTAGATCAAGATCACCCAGTTGCATAATACTTTCTCCTAAATTAAATTCGCGAAAAATCTTTTTACAAACACAAACTTTGAAAGATAAAGACATTGAAGCTAATCCATTTCTTGGAAATAAATAAAACACAAAAACATCATCTAAATCAGCATACACTATCTTACTATCGCGAATAGAAGCTTCAAATATATTTGACGAGTTTCTTTGTCCTTTAGTAGGATTTAACAAAGAACTTTTGATTTTCCCACGAATTCGGAAACCTTCTAGCGCAAATTCTTCAACACGACTAATATTAAATCGAATTTGTTTCATATATATTACAAGCTTTCCAACGTGTAAAGTGTAGTCTATATTAATATCTAAAGCACAAGTATAAGGTATTTCAGGTACTTTCATTAAAGATGGAGGGACATTTAATAATTTATTTGGTAAAGGATGCATTAAAATAGAGTTGGTTTCTGAGACCGTCGAAAAGCGGTCTCTTGGTATCATGTTTTTAAAGATATCTGATACACCTGATTCTCCGTCAGTAGATTGGTCAGAGTAAGTTAATGGACTACCGTAGCAATCTATGTAAGGGGGAGTATCTGAAAATGCACGGTTGTAATCAACTTTATTGTCTTTAAGTTCCTTTTGTCTCGGAACATACTCATAAGTTCTTTCGTCATTAGTATTTACAGAATATGCTGACATTCCATTTCTTTGTTTAGTGTTTTGGCCGTAATCGATTAGTGAGTTACTTGTTGATCCAGACAATAAAGTAGAATCACTTAACGAAACACGCATGTCTTTTGTGGGAACTTCTAGAGAAAGGAAATTTTGCGCATTTCCCATTGCCTTCAAAACAAAATAACGTTGAAAACTTCATCCAAAAACTGACAAATATAATTTCACTAGAAATAAACTTTTGACGCACATATAAGTAAAAATGTTTAAGTGAAAATAATAGCGGCAAATGTGCAGGTGTTTTTAACTACAGGTGTTTCTTGTAAAGTTTTTTTTTATATAGTTTCTCACTTAAAAAATATAAATAATTGAAACTTTTTATACAAAGAATATTCGTAATGTTGTTACGTAAGTTCGATGACTAAAGTTTAAAATTATATTTAAAAAATAATTTTGTCTTTACTATGTCTTTGCAGGTAAGAATAAATATAAAATTTTAAAATTAGCTTTAAAAAAAAATTATTCATTTTTTGTGAGCGATTCTTTTTTACTCCTTTTTTTTTTTTTTTTATTAATTTAATTATTATTATTATTTCGGTTACTTTAAATAAAAATGAAAGTTTACATTTTTAAAAAAACTATAATTATCATTATTATTTTTGCTATTTTTGTTTTCATTTATATTATGTATATGTATATATTTATATATATGTATATTTCTATAAAATAAAAACATGTAATGAACAATATTCTTTGACGACAAAAAGTTACAAGAATAGAAAACGTTAAACCAAAGCATTATCATAAGAATCATGAGAAAAATAACGATATACGATGCAAGACGATAACGATATGCGATGCAAGACGATAACGATTTACGATTCAATAGTGGTAACAAATGGATTGAAAGTGACATGGTGACGGCCCTCCGGTGTCGTCGGCCCTGGAAAGTGACATGGTGACATAAAATAACTAAAAGCAATTTCTTCAACTAAAAAAGTATAAAAGTGTAAAAAGCTTGTAAAATTGTGTTGTTTCTATCTGAATGGTGTCGATTTTAATGGTAACAAAAAAAAAAAAAAAAAATCTAAACTCTAAAAAGTAAACTCAAAAACCAAAAAAAAAAAAAAAAATCTCATCAAAATAAAAAAGATCCTTAAAATAAGCTCTTATCTGTAGAATAAAAAAATTGGCTACAAAAGTGCTCCAAAATATCTTTACTTCACTAAACCTTTAATTGATAATAACTTCTGAAACATACTATATCCGTGCATAAAACTATTTTGTCATTTTTTACGTCATTATAAATTATTTTAATAAAGCTTTTTTATATTCCTCATTTTTAAAAACCGTTATGTGCTTTAAAAAGACGCGACACGTATAGAACTAAATGAGCGCACGACAAATGTTGACTTGTAACAAATTTTTTTCGGTTAGTCTGCTGTGCAAACAAAAAAGATTCACGAAAGTACATAGTCTACATTATATTTATTTAAATGTTTATACCAGGGGGTCGAGAATTTGCAACAATCAGGCCTCACGTGGTTCTTTCAATGTCAAGAAACGGCTCTTTAGCTCATGCTAAAGAGCGTTGCCGACCCCTGGTTTATGCAATTTGACATATGCATTTTTTGCAAAATAATTTAATTTGAATGTTCAAATTAAGTGAAACTTTGACTTTATAGTGCAACAATAAAAAAAACCTATAAATGAGAACCACTTTGTATAATTTGATAAAAATTAGTGCGAATGTAGCATTTGACTGCACTCAACTCTGGATAAAATTTAAGACTGATTGGTTAACAGGTTAAGAATTTATGGTAGAATTTAATTTATGTTTTGTTAGTTTTTTTTCTACCTATATATTTTTTTAAGGTACAAACTACTATCAAATTGCATCGAAAAGTTAAAAAATGGTTGAAAAGCTTTAATAAAGATACTTACATAAAAAAATATAAAAATTATGATATGATAACTAAAATAATTGACAAGTAAAAAGTTCGGAGGGCCAGTCAGAGGAAAAGCATATAAAAGGGAAAATAATCCTTTGAAGAGCAGTAAAAATATTTTGCAGGAATGTGTCATCAAATAAAAATCTCTTTTATATATATATATATATATATATATATATATATTTTAGATATATATATATATTTTATATATATATTATATATATATATATATATATATATATATATATATATATATATATATATATATATATATATATATATATATATATATATATATACTGATTCTTGCATTAATATCTTTTTTTTAGCTAGAGATTTTTAAAGTTAATATATATATATATATATATATATATATATATATATATACATATATATATATATATATATATATATATATATATATATATATATATATATATATATATATATATATATATATATTAGGGTGATCCAAAAAAACTTTTTTTTTAATTTTTGTTATTCCTAAGGTCTAAATGTGTTCATATATGAAAAAAAACATTGTACCAAAAAAATTAGCCAAATCGGTTATTATTTAGAGGTCGCGCTGGGGTGATCTTGATACCCCTCTAAAATCGGAATTTTCAAAAGATTAGTAAAACATTGACCTTCGTTTTCTGTGCACATTTCGGTTATTTACCGTTTGATTTTAATAAAATAAAAACGAATATAAAGCTCTTATTACGCATAATAATTTTTATTAAACAACATTAAACAACAACAGCTGCTCATTGTCGCCTGGTTTGTTTAGCACTCAATGTTGATTTTTTTGCATCTGGTAACACAGCCCTGTTTTCTGCAACTAAATTTAGCACATACTTTTGCTGCTCTTCATCTTTTGTTAAGACAGCATTAAAGTCTTGTACTAACTTCACCCCTCTTTCGGCGAAATCATTAACAACTTTAAGTGACTTCACTACTTCTTTAGAGTCGGCATACGACTCATTGTTTATCCAGTTTGAAGGATCCTCTTCAAGAAAGGAAATGTCAATATTTAAGAAATTAAAAAATGAAAGTGATTTACACGTTACAAAGTCCTCAAGGGATTTACTCATTACATTTGTAATATCTGCTAATTTCTTTGATGGCCTATTATTGTCTACGCATTGACGCTGAAGGGCAGTTATCATTTTTATTTTAACTTCTATCTCTACATCATCACTAAAAAAGGCCAAAGATATAAGTTCTTCACTTAAATACCATAGATGCCGCCTCATTGCCTTGGTTGCAGCGGTCGCTATATTTTCATTCATTTCACGATATTCCTCAATATTTTTTTAGAAAATCTAAATCATTAAATGGGGCCGAGGCACTGAGTGGTGCAGTAAACCACTGTCGAACATATATTAACGCAGCAAACATGCTAATATCTCTTACTACGTTTAATTCATGTTGCACCATTTTAAACTGATCTCTAAATAACCATACTTTAATTGAATAAATAAGTTTTGCTATCCACCGAGCATGATGGAAGGCTCCAGGCGCTTTAAATCTTATTCCACTAGGAGGTTGCTCTCCTAAATATATCAGACATAATTAAAGAAGTTCTTTATAATCATCTGGTGGTTGTGAGTCTTGCAAACATTTTTTTAAGTAATTAATTTTAGACAATTTTTTTTCAATCGAGACATTTGAAAGATATCTTTCAGCTTCTCCATCTTGCACTGTTGGGCTAAAATCATCTTTCTTGATATTCTTCCAGGCTTGTTTAAATCGTTTGAAAATAGCAACATCTGGTCCGGACGTTGTTGGAAAATAAATTTTAAACACAGATCCTGCAACAATTTCAGTAATGTGATGACGACAAGCTAAATTCAATAATTCTTTTCCTAATTTTTCTTCAAGTAAATTACAAGCACCTTTCTCAGATCCTGTATTGCTAGCTGTGGTATCAAACGACATGCCACAGAGATTATTAATAAGATTCGAAGCGTCCCATTTATGGAGGGAGGCTACAACTGCAGTAGTAATGGCTTCCCCTTTTGAATCAGGAAGTTTTGGCACTCCCAGAAGTTTTTCAACACCACGCCCTGTTACTAAAACTGACAAACGCTCAACATTTCCACTTCCAGCAATGTCTGCCATCATTTTTCCATCCCAATGAACTACAAGAGTTACATCCGCTTTGAAATTTTCTTTTGTTTCATTGTAATGAGTTTCACGATAAACAGTTCTTGCCCTATGAAAAGTAGTAACAGATATAGAGAACTCTTCAATGGGAGCTCCTAAACTTTGCATTGTAGCTGCTATAGTTCGCATTGCCACACGATTGCTTACTTTTCCTCTATCTAAGGAAGAGACAACTTCAGGAGTAATAATTTTTTTTATAGAACGCTTCCTTTTTAGATCGGAGCTTTCTGCAACATCATCTTTTCCTTTCAAAACTACGATATCATCATGATCGCTACTAGCAGAACTTGAAGGCGAAGGTGAATTCTCAAGAACAACTACTTTTTCAGAGCGTTGTTTCCTTAACGCTTCTTTTTGCAAACGTTTATCCAAACTTATCTCTCTGCAAACTTTATTTTCTTCTTTCTCTGCATCATCTTTTTCAATGGAACCCAACACCATGTTTCTATCATCTCGTTGATCTATGAGGAAATCGCGATCTTCAGCAATTTTTATTAAATCAAAAACATTAGTTGGAGCAATATCAAAAAGTTTCATAATTCTCTTTTCAAAGACTATTACTTTGCTTCTAGCAACAGCTGATTTCTTATTTCTGTCTTTTAATAGATACGTATATTCTTTATGAAATTTTTCAAGCCTTGTAACTGCATTATCCTTTCGAATAGTAGGAATTTTGGTTTTTTCCCAAATTTCACAAGTTGATTTGATAACTGTTACCGAACTTTCATGTTTACTCAATCCTTTCACGTCATGGTGGAAGAAAAAACATTTTAATACTTCCAAAATCGTTAAAAGCTTAAAATGGGAAAGCATTGATATTGGTTGACCAATTAACCATTTTGCTGTAGAACTGCGTGTTGACTTAGCGACTGCAGCCATTTTAAATTTTCTTTAATACAGTGTATGAATGAAAATATATTTTGTTGTCTCCTATATTTCCAAACAAAATTAGTTTCGTTGAAACTCGCAATTATATCACTTTCTTAAAATACTGTAATAATTATTATTAGTTAAGCAAAATAGATAAACTATTGTAATTTTATTTCAGGAATCACAACACTCTCGATAAAGTCTCGAACTGAACTAAACCATATAATAAACCAATATAATAAAATATAATGAAATTTGGCTTAGTTTGCAATTTATTTTGCCGCTTTAATATGCATTTAAAACGGAAATGTTGTTTAACAAAAATT